TTTCGATCCTCTCACGGCGCGGTCCCGGAATGCATTTTTTTCACAACGCAAAAATGCTGTACACGTTTCACTATACGATCACTCCCTTTAACGGCAAGTAGTTTCATATTTAACATTTAACAATATAGGAATTTAAGATATAACATTGGTGCCGTGAAGTAAGATTCATAACATTATTTCCCGGCGTGAACTTAAGCTATTTAACACTTTTTACAAAGGCTCCTTCTGTCTCCTAAACATTCAGCCAAATGAGTCATTAAGTTAAATGAATGAGTAATGATCAAATGAGTGAAGGTAGGTTAGATACGACCCAAGATTTACTCAAAAAGTGAACTAGCCTTGTAATGATTCGAACAGAATTATTACAGTGGCTCATATTTAAATTCGGCCGCTTATGATTTTCAGGTTTGTTTGCGAATAGTAGTCACTAAATATTAGTGAAATGACTTTATTGTTCTTTCAAATATTGAACCTCATTTTAAAATCTGCTTATTTTGTAAAAATACTATTCAGTACGTTTTTAGTAAAAATATAATTTATTCAAAATATTCTGAAAAGGAACTGACATAAATATTCGGACACTTAGACTAAAAAGTTTATATTTAATAAAATGTGAAATTAGCGTGACATTCAATATTACACTTTTCTTTTATTCACTCCATACATATTCGAAACGAATTAAATACGGAGAATATGGAGGTGCTTTGATTACTTCAGAACAGTTGTATAATAACTCCAAGCGGACATTCGGGGCTATATGTTTAGGATAATTATCCAGGTAGAACGTTAATGCATTTTGCATTTCACGTCTTCACGCATTTGCTTTCAGGTTTACATTAAGAACATTTAGAGATTTAAGCTGATGCGTATTCTTTCCTATAAAAACAAAATTTTCCTTCCCATAGGCAAAGAAACATTACGTCTCCAATTCCGTACTTAATTAATAGGCAATAGCGTTTTCGTGTTCAAGCATTCGTTTGGGTTGGGCCTCATAATAATACTTCCATCGGATCCAAAAATTATTAAATTTTGACTCGCTTAAAAATACAACGTTGTTCCAATAGCATAAATATTAGCTTACAGTGGACTTTGGAGGGCCAAGACCAGACATATTTTACTCGTTAAGAGGAAGAATTTCTTTCTTGTTGATCACCTATTGTATAAATTTGTTGTAATGGTGATTCTAACAGAGTTAAAATTTATTGTAAACTGTTTTTCTAAATACCTTTCAAGTTTTATTTCACTGTTTATTGGGTTTAGTTTGATTTTTCATTGGATAAATCTTTGATTTCTTCGTGTTATCTTAGAATGGATTCCAGACTTCACTGAATATGAATATATTGTATATTTCGAATATATTAAAAATATGTAAGAAGAATTTAAACTGAGCAGATTTTAAATTTCTAACAGAATTTGTCGTTAATTTGTAGCGTTTCGTTATCTTCACTTTAGATACGTAACTGTTAACATGTTCTGCTAAGGGCTTAAAATAGAGAAAATTGATCTAATAATGAAACATCTGAAGCCTGTTTCAGTATTCGGCACAAGATTTATGCAAGTATATTCGAAAATACAAATGTCTGAAAACAAATGGTAGCTAATATAATTTATTTATCAAAAAACAAATCGTGTCGCTCATATCCTCAGCAATGTGAGTGTTTGAAAATGAATACTTGGCACTTACGGTTGGGTACAGAAAATAAAATATTCTCAAGAACTGGATGATTTTAACATAGATTAACTAAAATTATTTAATCTGGAATACAATTTTACAAACAACAGTTTTCCACTAATCTATAAATAACTCATTCAATGGTGATTAAAGAAAATCTGTGGCAGCTCTTATTTAGATATTAGTCAGATGTTAGGAAACTATCTAGAACCCAGCAGAGATCATTAAGAAAAGCAGACAGTTTACAAATGAATTTAATTAAATTAAAAATAAACTGTAAAATAGCATTTTCACACCCAAAAGAATTGCCGATGTCTCGTTACGTTGTTTCAGTTATTCTAAAGTTTAATGATCCCTCTTGTGAAACTTTAGATTGATTAAGTTGCTAAGTGTAAAATTAAAATAATTAACTGGAACTTATACTACTCCATTTGGGAATATTTATAAATTTGAGCGGGCCCTCACTAGATGACTTTGATGGATTGCTAACGGTGCTTCTCCTGTAATGAATTATCAAACCCTATTACACAACACAGGGATGCTAAATGACATCCCGCTGGCACTCTCTCACTTTAAAATAAAAGAAAAATCCATGAATCTCAGTGATATAGAATAAGTTGAATAACTTAAAAATGAGGGTAATTATCTTTTACTCGATGGTGTGACATATAACGCACTAACATAAAAAAGAAAACTTAGTTTTCTAATATTGCTTTTCAATCTTAAATCCATTTGTTCAGTCAATATGTCAGTATATGTTTGGGTAAATTTAAACTAAATTACTATAAAGCTATGGGGAACTTAAAAAGTGTTAAAATATATTTAAAAAGATTAAAGAAAGCCAGATGAAATATTAGTTTAGAAAACTCTCCAAAATAACTAATTTGAACATATACTGGAAGATGGCGTTTTTTTGTGATTTCACATAGTTTCACACAGCTCTATTGCTGCAATTTTATCTAATATATAAAAATTTGAAATGAACTACTTTTCCCTGTTAAAATTTAAAGATGTCTTAATATGTCTTAATGTCTTCTATTTTATCAGATATAGCGGATTATCGTTTTATAATGATTTTTAGTGAATTTGAAAACTTCATTCCTTAGTATATGGATCAGCCTCAATCATGCTTAAATTTGCTCCTTAGAACGCTTAGCATGCTCTAAAATTCCCCTTTACTCTGTTTAAATCTAACAAAATTAACTCAGTTTTCTTTTCACATAGCTGCCTCTACTCCCCTAGATTGAGGTTTGAAATTAAATCAGAGAATTTAAGTGGGAATAATCTGCTTTCCTGTATTGAAATATCCAGATTTAAGTCTTCAGTTTCCTTAATGCGTCAACGCACATTTTCGGGAAATTCAGATGATATGCAAAGATGCTTAACCATAAGTCATACCTAGAGCTAAATAATTCATGATACATAAAGGAACAGATTAAATATCATGAATAACGTTATTCTAGCAATATTTCTTCACTGTAACAGGTGTGGTTGTTTTTCTTTTTTATCTATTTTAAGCGTATTGGTAGAATTAAAACCAATTGATACTTACAGGATGGTAATCGGAATTTCGCGCAGCTTAAAAAAATCATTAAATTATTAATGCAATTCTTTTGAAACGGAAGGTTGTACCATTTCATTCAATTGCTATTATTGATTTTCACGTATATCGAATTGTTCTTAAACGAAATTATCTGAATCCCGCATCAAAATGAATGCTATAAATGTTTCCACTTATAATACTCTGCCTATATTTATAGAATAAGTAATTGTTATTTCGAATAGATTGACTCTTTTTTGCAATGGAAAAGCTCATTTTTATACAACCATAACAACTATGCGTTTCATTTAAAATGCTGTTTCAGGATGCTTTGCTTTGACTTAAGTATTTGTAATTTTCTTCCTTTTATTTTGTCGAATTGGATTAAAATGAACACCAGTAAGGTTTTCTTTAGTGATATGTAAATTTAGCCGTAAAGGTCAACAACTGTTATTCAGTACAAATGCCTTTACAAATTACTGAACACTTCATAAATAATTTGTGAGGATTTTTGAAGGAGAGTTGAGATATTATCTGTAGACTTGTCAGGAATGGAAACCCGGTTTTTTTATTAGTAACCTGATGTTCTGATTGTTATGCTTAAACTGTGAATCTTAAACTGTGTTATGCTTAAACTGTGAAACAAAAATCTTTGCATTTTAAAAATTCATTGAAGTATATTTTAATTACTATTGGTATGGAAAAAACTCTTTGCTGTCAGAACGTATTGGTGGATAACATACTTGGTGATTGCAACCATGGTGAAAATGTATTGATATGAGAAAAGGTTATTAATTAAATACGGTGAATTTATCTGTAAGTGACAAAAGAAATGCTAGAAAATTTGCGTACATTATTCAAATTTCTAAGATTAAAATATAAATTTATAATATAAAACGGATACATATAAATTTATAAAGTATGGGTTACAAATGATATTTAGTTTATCTCAGTGCCTACGACAGGGATTTCCTGCTGCGATAACTCTTTCACTTCTACCGCAACACAAATTCCAGAATTTGAAGGAATAAGCAATTTAACGAGTTTTTAATTTTCCTTCAGAATTTTTAGAACTAAAATGCATTCCCTCTTAAAAATAGATAAAATGCTCCAATTACAAAGTTTTTAGTTTAATATTTTAATGGTTATGCTATTATAAAAGTTTTCTTAATTCTTTGTCCTGAAACCTATTTATTCATCGTTTATTTTAAATTTCAGAAGAAAATCTTTTATATACTTTATAAATAAATATTTATAAATAAATCACAACTTTATATAATCATTTTTCGTAAGATGTAATTTCTCTGAAGCGACTTAAAGAAACTAGTCTCTTTCCTTCTGAGAGAAAGTTTAACTCTTTGAAACTAAGAATAAATTAATGCTAATTAACAGTAACGTAAGATAATAAATGTGAATAATGATGTGAATTGTAAGCGTAGTATTGGAACATTTTGCTCTTCTTATTAATTTAACGCAAACAATTTTTCTATTAGATCTCGAACAAATCATTACTACCGTTTGAAGTAAGAGTGCGATCTCAAACATTCTATTGTTACTACCATTTGCAATCAGAGTAGGATGAATCTACTCTTTTTATAAAAAACAGAAGTAAGTAATGAGTTCTAATCCGAAGCTTTTAAATTCTAATTTCCAGTTACAACAAAGCAGCATGAATATAATTAATATTAAATCTTTACTTGCTGTCTACTTGCTGGCTATCGAAGAAATTTAAAAGATCATTTTAACTGACATTAAAGAAGATTTAACATTAAGGACAATGTTACTTACCCAGACTTTGCGAAGTTAATCCAGTATGACATTACAGCTTCCGAAAGAGATATCTCAGCTCTAGAAAAATTTCTTGAAAAATGTGATAAAGTTGCCACTAGAGGCGCACCAAACAGATAAGCTAAATCTTCGCCATGAACACAGCCATGTCTCTGCGGATAGTCCCCATTTTCGGTTTGATAGCCGAATACATAAAAATACGTTTTCGAATGCGTCTTTGAATGGTAATTACCAGTGCGAATAATTGGGGCTACTGTTAATCCATCTCCCAATGCTTCTAATGTCGCTTCTAATATGCTTACTGGGTGTTGAACAGGCCGTGTCCAGTCTGTATATTCATTAACTATCGTAAGGAATATCTCTTGCATGTGATAATTGAACAAATTTCGTACTAAGGTTCGCAACATCCTATCTCTTCTTTCGTGGTCTATACCGTGCTTTTCTTCATTTGAAGAAAGGTGGTAAAATTTTTCAGCTTTAGTAACTCCAAATAAAAGATCGTATTGGCCAAATATGCTATCTTTTTCTTGCATGGGTTTCAGAGGTTCCACGGGAATAACAATCCCATCGACTGTGGGGCCAAATGCTGACAAATGTTCTGGAACTACTACCTGAACCTTCATGATATCAGCTAAAGGGCGTTGTCGCATGCAATCCAACATCGGTGCACTTTCTTCAGTAGGACATTTTAATGTTCCGCATACCTGACGACCGTAGGTTAGAGCATCATGAGCTATTGCCCAAGGACTTAATGCGGAGCCACTCTGCATGACTGCTCTCTGAAACAGACCTGAAAGAGATCCAAGGTATCATTCTTGCCTCTAGCAGAAAGAAATATAATATCAATTAATATATTTTGCATTTAGGATTTATTACTGCTGTCATATTTTATTCCAGATTGTTTAAAGATTTGCTGTTTGTCAATTTTTTAAAGACATGCGCGAATGTGTATGATAAAATTCAAATTGTTTACAAATAAAACCATCCACTATATAATAAACTTTGATTTATAAGACTATATGATTTATTGTTTTGCATTATATTTGCTAAAAGAGATATTAATTAAACGTAACATGCCAAATTTTATTACCTAGAACTTCCGTTAAAAACTTACTAAGAGTATGTTAACGTTATTTTAACACTGAACTGACAAGTGATCATTATGGATTTAGGAATAATTTAATCTCTTTAAAATATAAAAAATAGCACGTAAATTTAATAATTTATTACTAAACAAAAAATGCTTAATCAGTAAATATGTAATTTTGCAGATGAAGTTAAATTAAATTTGTCAACGAATTTTACTTTACCTCTCAATGAAGTATTTGATTAGTGACTTTTAAGTGAAAATAGTGTGAAGACGCGTTGCATATGCACTTTAACACATAACTCATCGAAAAACGTGTTTTAAAAAGTGTTTTGCTCTAAATTCCTATTATAATTAATTGCATAAAACTTGCTGCTTTAGGGGCATTTCATTATTATTGCTAAGTTTATCAAAACATAAATAAAACATCTGGGCGTTCAAATGAACCGTTTTTATATACGATACGTCAGGAATTTACACTCTGTCCTACAGTGATATGTAGCTTCGAAGCATTTTAATGGAATTATATGAATCATTAGTTAGTGATTTAAGTTTGCTTGCTTTAAGAAAATCAGAAGATGGAATTGATGTAATACTTCTTAAATATAATAAAATATGTCACAGGCTGACTCATTATACCAGAACTTTAAATGATAGACATATTTCATATATCTTTTCCAACTTTATCTCATAGTTTCTAGATCAAATTATTTTCATTAGATTTGCTATTTCCGATAAACAGCAATAATGTAATAAAAAAATAAATTTTCAAACCTCGGGCCATAGGTGATATCATCAGTAGATTAACAAACGCAGCTCCATGCCCTTGTCCAATAATTGTTACATTTTTCGGATCTCCACCAAAGCCTGCTATATTTTCCTGCACCCAATGAAGTGCTGCTACTTGATCCATTAAACCATAGTTGCCCCTCGCAGATCCTTCTGTAGCAGGAAGGAAACCTGGAAAAAATTCAAAATAAGAGATAAAATCAATATGCTAAGGTTATCTTTACTGAAAGTATACCTATAAATGTTATTAAGTGTAATTAATTTTAAACTAATGCTAGATTGTAAATTACAACATCCTTTGCTTTTTTACTCCAAGTCTTCGTTTTTCATCAACGAACGCTATTATTTCTTAACATAAAAAGCAGTCCTAATTAGCCCTAATTACATTTACAATTTTAAAATAATTTTAACACAAGAAAGACATTTTATTTCCAAAGTAGTGAACGTCTTGTTTTATATTTTATCTTAGAGGCATTTTAAATTTATGGACATTCATTTGAGAAGTGTTATAAAATTACGAGTTGCTCATAACAGCAAATTATGGTCATCTTCCTTCACGCCTTTTTTAGTGTTCTAAATTTATTGCGTTTTCTTCAGAGCTTATTTTTAAGGAGAGACTTTTTAATATTTCGAGGCTTATGTTTAAAGAAATCTCGAGTCTAATAAAAAAATAAGGAACTTTGTGCAGACAAGGATTAAGAAACAGACACATTTATAGCAAATATATTATTCTATTTAGATGTGACTATTTTATCTGAAAACATAGAAACATCGGTAACAAAATATAATAATTATTTCTTAATAAATTAGAATTTAATTTGATGAAAAATCTAACTTTACTGTGATAAGTTTTTATATGAGCAGAATCTCTGCCACTTTCTGTACCTTATGTATAAATCCATTGTTAATACGCTCCGACAGAGTGTTATTAGGGATATCACGCATGTACAGATTGTGGAAGTATCCGCAATCAGTAAAGTATCCTTAGTATTTCCATATTATGGAATACGTGGGATACGTACACGCTTAGACCTGTTAGACATTAATATCCCCGTCTTCTGCCACCTGTGATACGTTTCAGGATTGTCTTCGCAATTAGTTCAATTCACGAAAAAGTTAGAGTAAGTATGAGAACTAAAGATTAAACTGTTTTAATGCAAATGACAAACATAAATTTCATCTTCATCTGTGATGGAATTTTTATTGTGTGAAACTAATGACAGAAACTCAAGGTATCTCTTTCTTCATGCGTTTTAGCTAGTGAGCGAAAAATTCTCTCAATTTCACACTTTAACAAACGGAATTACCAAACAACTTCTATAAAAATTTATTTTTCAAAGGCACTTTTAATAGCTAAAAGTGTGTTGGAATATTTTTTGTACTAACTGAGTCTTTTTTTTAAATATGCAAGTCAAAAATATTTAAATATAAAATAAGAACATATGATGTCTCTATATACGGTAAGTAACTAAAAGAAGCAGCAATACTCAACAAACATAATTTTCGCAGAAAATGCTTCAAATTTGCTTCGCAAGTTTGTTAAAGGTCTATTCGGTTTTGCAACTAGAACAATAGTTATACAGAAAAACGTAAGAAATTATTAAAGAAGATAAGTTTAGTTAAAAAGAATTGTAAACACAGAAGATAAATGGACTTAGTAAAAATTATTAACTCCACCACTCGAGGCAAATATGAGAACAAACATGTTAATTTGATATAAAGCTGTAAAGTGTTGAATAGAAAAATAAAAGAAGTTTTAAAAATAAATTTACTCAGACTCTTGTAAACATTTCTAAATTTTTTTATGTTTCACCTTCTTTTGTTTTCAACAAGATTTAATTTTTAAAGCTCTTCTGTTGAAAATAGTTTACCCTAATAAAACCATCATGAGAAATAAAAATAATCGGTGTTTAATATGTAAATTTCATAGTGTAGTATGGGCTTCTAGAAGCTTCCTGAAGAATAGGTCGTAGAGCTTGGAAAATGTATTTTCCAAAATCTTCCAGAAAGTTTCCAAGTTAACAAGGGATTGCCAGGTATCGCTAATGCTCACTAGGCACGTATTTGCCCTAATCTCGACTTAATCTGAGCCAGGTTTGCAATTTAAACGTTGTTGGCCTCAGAAATAAAAGCTTTATAATTCTTTATAGAAATAAGAATTTATATCGAAATCATATGGCCACAAGTTCGATTAAACATAAAACAATCCTAAAACTATTATCCTAAAAATCAAGAAGTAAACAAATAACTAAATAAAAAATTACACAGCATTTTACACTTTGTAGATAAGACTCTTCAGAGTGCGACAACGAGATTTCAAGGTTTTTATCTAGCCCAGTAAATTCAAACATAAATTAGGAAAAAATAATCAATAGCTTCGCTTGCGCAACGGAATGGCGTTCTATGCTATCCACAGTATTTGAAGTTCAACATTTGCTTAAGCAAACTCCTAACGAGCTTCGAATTCCTTGACCAATCCATCAACTTTACAATAATAATACCAAGATAGTCTTGGGGATAATCTTTATTCTTAAGAAATTTCAGATACCCTTTTGAGATATTATTGAGCGTTGTTTCCGCAATTTAAGGAAATCATACAAAATTGTGCACAACAAAATCAACAATAAATAGCTTCGCACGTAAGGCTTAGTGGAGGTTATATCAACCATCGAACACCAATAATGAAATGATGAAATATCACTGTCACATTTTTTTTTTTTTTAACACGGATGATTTTAACGGTTAAGCGAACTGTCAGTATAGAAGGATTCGTGCCTTCACCGCATTCCCTCCTGGGTAGTTTTGCTACCATATGCCCTAGTTTGATAAAATTTCTATCTACTTATGCATATTAGAAAACTATTTATAGTCTAATACATTATACCAGTGTATTCTTCAGGCTAGCGATTCACTCAGGCTAGAGCACATCTGACTACAGTACGCTCTGCTTAATATTTCAAACGTACATAAAATTGCATATTATATATATATACCAAGGATACTATTTATTTCCATTTATGTTCCTATCAGTTACATGCACACTTAAGTACCCAATATTTAGTTGTGCAAAGCCGTGGTACTATATTTATGGACATAATTGATAAGAATATTGTCGTTACGTTTTTCCTCTGATGGCAGAGTTAAAACTGACAGTATGATGTCATTCGCGGAGAGTCTTTTATTTGATGTATAGATCCGTGCCCACAGCAGAAGGTTATTCTCATATTAGTGGTTTAGTTAATTGCTATTGACATTGCTGGACATGACACTGCCGTTGCAGGGACAATTAATGACTAAAGCTATATAGATTAACGTCATTAAGAAATATCATTTCTTCTTTCTGATATTTTTCAGACGCTCTAGGGATAAGACATCTCGGCATTGTTCATTTTGTCTTTGGAATGAAAGCGATCAGGATAACATTTTCTTAACAAGCTAAGCGCTTCAAGAACATGCAGCTATTTCTGCCCATATTTTTTGATGAAGTTAAGAAGAGAAAAAAATGAAAGCTTCTAAATGAATATTATCATTAATATTAAAATGTTACACTCTCACAAAGGAAAAATAGCTGAATTCTTTTGGGAATAGGCTATTAAAGATAATTATTACTTAGCAGATTCATAAAGAAATTACATGCTACACATATTTTAAATTACTAAATTATAAAAAGTGATCACATTTTTCGTTATAGTTCATGTGTTCAAGAGAGGAGAAAAGTGAAAACTCCACAGAAATGTTTTTAGTAGCACTACACTTTTCTACATAAAAAGTTTGGAAAAATGTTTTATTTGGATATTCCCGTTTATATATTTTCAGTAGTAAACTATTTGTATTACACGATATTCTCGTGTTTTGCTAAACAGTGATTTGTGTATATATACATTACATAAATCAACTAATGTATTTGCCTGTGATATATATATATAACTACATTATATATATAAAGTTTTATTTGTTTGATTACGGCAAAGCATGCAAGATAACTAACGAAAGATATGCTTATGGGAAATTTTCTAAGGAAAACTGGGTTGTATCTACATTACGCATGGAAAAACCGCACTTGTAGCGACGTTTTGAACCCATATCTAACTACGGAAGTTCAGCAACTTTTACTGCTGCGGAGCCTATGCCCAAAGAAAGATAAATAGTTCATTTAATAAAGCACAAATGGACTGTATAAAACTATATTCATATTCTCACATACGTTTTCTTACCTATTATATTATTTTATTTTGCCATAATATACTGTAAATTAAATGCTTTTGTTCATTAAATTTAATAACCATCGAATTTGAAAACTGAGCAGGTTATTTATTAATAATACAGTATTACAGAGTAGATAAAGATTATGCAAGATTACTCAAATATAATTGAAACTGATGGAGATATGTCAGGTCTCGAACTTCTAAAGCATGAAATCGTCTATATATAGTCAAAAATTCAGCTTCAAAATTTTCAGCATTTTAAAATTTTCGAGGAATCGAATGAACATTTTCTACCTTTTAAGAAATGTTAACTCGAATTATAAGATATTACAGATTACTTCCAACGTTTCTGGAAAAATCTAATATCTTTGCTAATTTAAACTATATAACTTGTAGGAAATTTTATGTTATTTAACTAGTTATTTAAAATTTAAGCCTCCACTAGAGCTTTTGCTTTCTGCATTCCTCACCAGTGTGTAAACGAGTACCCAGTATTTAAACTGAAGCTTTTGGATTATAAGATAGAGTATGTATTTGGCATCTCGTGCACGCTATTCTTTAGTTTCCTGCCAGCTCCGACAGTTGCAATTATTCGGCTTTGTGTTTTTTTGCTGCTGACATTTAAGTTCTGATGCTTACTAGAGTTGTGAGCCAGCTTCTAGTATAGTAAGAATATATGCAGTCTTTGATTACTGTTCAAAGAATAAAATTTGACATTTTTTTGCATCACGACGAGCTGTAGTTATATTGTAACCCAAGAGAGTGTTTTTGTGTTTTAAATTCTCTAATAAATAAAAAGTCTGTAGTCGAAATTCTGCAGTAAATAGAAATGTTACTTCTCACGACTTTGTCATTGCTTCAGACATAGAGATAATTAGCTTTCTTCTGTTACTGTTACTGAACTAATTAGCATTACCAAATTAAGTGTAAACCCTACAAACCGTTTTTGGAAATGGCGCTGAAATT